AAAAGTTCAAAGCAATCAATCCGACTGAAAATTAAGAAAATAGCTAGTATTGTATATATCATGTTAGGCTACGTGAACGCGTGCGTGCTGATTATGCCGCTAATTCCGCAAGCGTATGAACGACACACCGCGTCGTCCTAATAAATAAATATCAATGATTATATTTTCCAAACTTATCTGAACAGTTCATCCGCGGATTACGGTTTTCGATTATGAAATAAGGAATTGTCGATTATGGGAGTGTCTTATTTTATCGCGTGTGTTTTAAACTGCGATTGTATGCTAGTATTTGGACAATAATAAAATAATAATATCAAAAATAAATGGTACAGGAACAGACAGACAATTTTTCATATTGTCGCACTACCTTCATCAGTACCCACGATCCGCCACTGATCATATTTAATAGTGTGTACGTGTAACGCGCGCATTTTCGTACGTATTTATAGGATAACCGTGGTAATAAAACTGTACGTAATACAGTAGTAGACAATACTTATATTATGGGCTTTTGACGCGTTTATGAAACAAACAGCCGGTCAAAACGTGGCCCGTACGCATTTACCGTGTAATACAAGTACGCAATAAAAATAATAACAACACTAGTGCACCACGTGTGGGTGGTAGTAATTTAACACGACCGCAAACCACGCGTACGTGTTATAAACCGCGTGTAAGCATCCGAGTCGGTATGCGTGTGTATAACGATGGAAAACATACTATAGAGAAAAAATTCCAGTAAAATAATATTACGTTAACGTGGGTACGCGTGCGTCCTGCAGGATTAAAAATGGAGGCAGGTCACCCAACCACTTGCAGCGCTTAAAATACATCCCTTTTAAGATATCTCCGAAAAGTTCACTGAATCGTCCAACTGTTCCATAAAAAAAAAAAAAAAACCATTACAAAATCATTAAAATCACTATTTTTTATTATACATATATAACTTATTGTATGGAATGTTCAACACGGTGACAGGTATCATATTTACCTCTACGTTGTTTATTTTTTAAAACTAGCACTGTTTTCGCGTACGCACTACAAAGCTTACGATCGAAAAAAATTAATTCAAACACACACGGACGTATAGAAAAAAAAAACTTCTGTAGTCGTCACAATATATGTCTATAAAAGTGAGTCACGAACGACACATAACGTCAATATCATGGATATGATAATATAATATTTTGTTATTATTATGAGTGGTTTTTTTTCTTTTAATGTTCCCTTTACAGCACATTATGTCATAAAACATGCAGGACATAATATTATTTATACTAAGGTATGATTATGAATGGTTTTTTTTTTTTTTTTTTTTGATAGATCATTGTCTTTTCTTGAACCAAGTCTTACTTATGTATTATACAACGTGTCGATACAATTTATTAAATTTAAATAGTATTTAATATAGTACGATATGCATTGTCAGCATAGTGTTTCGTAGTATTTTTTGCGATCTTAATTCGAAACATATTTAGCAAAGATAATTTTTATTTCAAACGAATATAAAATATTATATTTTAGTAACATAAAAATGCCGGTCTCGAAGTCGTAACATGGAGTTTCTTCTCAGAATCATTGCCTCAAGCCACTGTCCGGAGTCATTTGATACTTTCCGCAGTCGAAGCCGTCATTGGTTAATTTACGAAAAAAAAATGAATTTGATAATTAGAATGACTTCCAGTAAAAATAATTTTTAATCAATTCAAATGATAGTGAATAATAAATTTAGATATAATCGATTACATCTGTCTACTACCCTATAACGTACACATCCATTTTCTATTAATTAAATCATATCGAATTGAGTTGATTTTTAAATGCAATGATCGCCTTATGTTGATGATCAAAGATTTATGTTGCATCAACTTGCCGAGTTGGACCGACACCGAAATCTGCATCTATTTGATTGCTGATCGTATTTTTTTGTCGGAATTCTGTAAGTCATCCCAAGTAGACTGCGTTAAATAACAGCCACGAAGTTCAAATAAAATGATCGATTTTCAGGAAATTTCGTAGGAAATAACAATAATGTAATAGGCACAACGGAAGACGACGGTATCAGTACACGCGCGAACAACGTTATAAGAATAAAACAGTAAACTGCCAACGGTGGATATAATACTACGTTAATATGATTACTATTATAATCCGTCTGAATTCGATAGTTCGGGAAAACGATTTTCTAAATATCGCGTTTGAAAATTCGGTACACCGTTGCACGGCAGCTCCGACTCGTCCACGATTTAAGCGTGCGCGTCTGTCAGACCGGTGGCGCGATATCAAAGTTGACATTACATAGCGCATCCGTGAAGCGAACCAAGTCTGCAAGTCTACAAAGTATCCTAACGTGCGTTGGAGGAGGAAAAAAGTATGACGAACAACAGTGCAATATATCTGCGATACAGTACCGAACGATTTTCAAAACAGAATATTCATACGTAGTCGAGTCTCGTCCCAGACATAATTGCGGACCGCTGTAGCTCACGGCCCCGTACAATGGCCACGTCAATACCTTCGTCGCAGTACGCACGCGTTTGCGCACGTGCCAACACGTAATTACGTTCGCGAACCCGGTCGGTATTTATTTTTTATTTTTTCGCCATTCGACGTAACCACGGTTTTCTTTTTATTTAATAAAGACACCGCAATAGATCGAATTCGATCTAATAGTTTCCGGACGGATTGCTATGTGACGAATCACACTCATGCCGCACAAATATATATTTATTAATTCCTCCCTCCTTTCCCTAGTAATCATCATCAAGCCTGTAATTACGTGTACGCGTTATGATGGTTTGACGGTTGACGATCGTCACACGCGCGTGCTCGTATTCGATCGTCTCCTCCGCAACAAACCCATGGACAAATTCTTGTTCGATATTCTTCTTCGTTCCTGAACAGCATCCGTGATAACGGAACACGTTCGATAAGTTAGATCGGGAAAACAAGGAGTAATGTTCTCCTTTCCTCCGTCCTACACAACGTTCTCCCCATGCAATCCCGACGCAATCACATCGTTATACCATTATATTTGTAGGGCACGCGTTACTAATTGTAACTTAGTTTAACTTTGTTAACTAATTATTTCTTCGGTATTAAGTCGAACCGAATCGTGGACTTTAACGTCGTAAGCTGTTGTAGTTTTCTGCTCAATTGATCGAACTAGTTGTGTATTAACTAAAGGCGCCGTCAGGCTAAATAAAATTGTATTACATAATCAAAAATATTTTTCTGGTCCGTTAGACGTTTTTAGCTCCGAATTGAATTACATATATTTAACGCGTATCGCGATGACTTCGATTAGTTTCCGATCCTAAAATTCATTTTTTCTAAACTGTTTAAGTTTTTTCTACAATCTGTTTCTATATTATAATGTCGCATACGGCCACACGAAGTAACAGTCAATTACTTATGGATTACCAATAAGTTCACAACAAGCCATGCTTATATCATAGTATATTACTCACATCAGTATGGTATGACTCATACGGGTACACTTACTGATAAAAATATTATACTCTCATAGGATATCTTTTTATTTGAACCATATGAATGTAGGTACAACCGCGTAACAATATATTCATTAAAAACAACTAAAATCAAATTTGTGGGTTGAAAAATTACTAATTTATCATGACAATGAACTGCGCTGTTAAATATCGAAAATTATAAATGTCGAGAGATATCAGGTATAATTTTAGAGATTTAAGAACAAAGTTTACGTTTTTAATATTTGACAACAATTAATATAAGCTAATAAAATCCATACGTAAATTATCTATTATTATTCGATACTTTCATATGGATATAATGATATATTTTTTAAGTTGAACTATACCTCTGATTTGAAACGTGTTACGTATTTGAATCATAAACATATTGTTTTATTGGTTTCTATATGTTTCCATCTATTAAAATCGGTATTTCAGTATTCTTATTTTGCCTACATTATAATAGTCGCTTCATTTTTTATACTTACAATTATATTATTGAATTTTTAAATAATAAATGTTAACACTTTAAAATTATAAGAAATAAAAGTTACTAATAACCATAGTGTATTTTCTCCAATTTTTTGCCAGTTAATCGAAGTGTAAATTAAATGATCATAACTCACTGACTTGATGTCACGCTCCATTTCATTTTTGGATCCAAACTATACAATACGATCTTTTAGAATAATTATTACCATCGTACTCATCGAAAATTGGTGATTTCCGACCTCAATATTTTAAGTCACTGTAAATAATTAAGAAAACCACAAAATATTTTTTTTAGAAGACTAGAAGACATCAAAAAATAAAAATAAAAATATTTCTGTTTCTTCCAAGAAAATTTATTATACGTTGTCTTTTGACAGTTTATCAGCCTTTATATCAGTGTTTCCCAACCGGTGTGCCGCGATAAATCTATAAATTGTTTTATAAGTATGTATTTAGCAGCTTATTATTGATATTCGATGAAAACTGATCGAACTAATCGTAGATACATATAATATTATTTATTGTAAGTATGCCCATCGCAGTCGTTTCGATCGATCGATTGTATATTAATATATTCACAATACATAACCCTATAATAGAGTAGATTGTAAACAATGTACGTATAAATATGTACATATGTATAAAATATGTTTTACATAATATATGGATTGGTGTGCCGCGAATATTTTGTTGGAGATCAAGTGTACCGTATTGTTAAAAAGGTTGACTGCTTTATATACTTGTTAGTACTTCATTTGAGACAAACTATTTGAAGTATTAAAATAAATAAATATTCTTCTTCGGGATTTTTTTTTTTGAATCAGTTATCAAACTCAAATGTATAAGACAAATCATACTTATCGAGAAAACCGTTTTGCTAAATGTTCATTTCTAACGATACTCGGACCATTCGAAAACCATTGTATTTCCGTGTTAGTCCATAGATTTTGTCACACATAAGGATTCAGACAAGAAGGAAAATTTTAAAATGTTTTTATTTTTATTTCCCTCTAGGACCGTGGAGACCTTTGTTCAAACCGTCGCAGATCCTGAAGACCGAATTCCCGGAGCACGAGGCTTTCCACGAAGAGGTAGACTCACGGTACCGGAGCTTGATGAGCCAACAAGTGGACAATCACTTGCGATCCTTGCAGTCTGTGGCGCAGTCTTCTGAGCACCTAACTCCCGGATTGGACAGCAGCGGCGGAAGCGGTGGCAGCGGAAGTTTCAGTGGTGGTGGTGGAAGTTTTAACGGTGGCGACGGAAGTTTCAGTGGTAGTGGTGGAAGTTTCAATGGTGGCAGCAACGGAGGTGGAGCAGTAGTGGGAGGAGGCAGCGGTGCAGGACACGCCAAGAAGCACAACCACTTGATCCACTTGCACCTGATACCACATATTTACGTGCCGATCGTACACTCTTCCGGCTTCACAGAGGCGAAAAACTATCACTCGACCGTCGAGGACGGGTCTTTGTCGCCGTCCCCAAACCTCCATCACTCGGTTGATTCGTCTTCGTCGTCGGAGTTTCAGACGAGCGAGGTCGGTGGCACGAGTGGGGCAACCGGCACTTCCGGTCCCGGCGAGAGCCCTTCGGCAGCCGCCGAATCCCATACGCCGACCGGAGACGTTAACGAACACGACAACGGTAGCAGTAACTTTAACGGGCACTCGGGTGAGAATACGTATTACACGATCACCGAGGACGCCGTGCAGCACGTGCACCACGACTTGCACGAAAATTACGGGAACGCGATCGACAACAATTCCAACAACAACCACGACTACGAGGTGCCTGGTTCCAACCAGGTACCAGTCGAGGAACCGCATCAGTACCAGGTGCGCGATAACTTTATATTATTATCGTGTACGTCTAGCCATTGGCTTATCCCCCCCCCCCCATGTAATTAACCTTACTGTCCTAGCACGTCGCAACCATAGTCAGTTGGTAAAATTAAAAACCTACATGGATGTTAGTTTTCCAGAGAGTCCTAAGTTAAGAGGGTCCTAGTTTAACTGTCTAGAGGTACGCAGATTTATAATTCGACAATACACTATATGACATGACGGGTAGGTCCCGATAAACGAATATCATTTACAGAAATGCTGATATTAAGGTAATGGAAGTGAAGCTTTTTGAAATTCAAGAATTAAACATAATGCACGCTACGTAAATTGTGTCACGATTGATAGTTAAAGTGTGGCTGGTACGACCAAAAGTAAAGTCCCGAATTAATATTGTAGGTTTTTTTTTTTTTTTTGTGAACGGGTTGTGGGGATCCCCGATCGCAGTGCTCTACCCTCGCGTTAGTCAGGTACATTCTGGATTCCGTCGGCAATAATGGCGCGTTACGATATCGTGATGATCTGACCCGGATATGCGATCCGTGAAGTGTGTATGCTTTCCCGGTACCTCCAACGTTGACGATAATCATCCTACCACCACTTCTTTTTGGCAAGCGAATTTTCAATCTGAAAAGAAAATCGCCCGTTCCAAACTGCATTCACACGGGTCGATACACGATACACTTCCACGGCCCCGCGGCTTCGTGCGTGTTTCGTCGGACAATGTACGTCTCGGCGACCGCACGATCATCAGACTTAATCGCCGGCTCGTGAACACTATTCGTCAAACCTTCGGTCTCGAACGTGTAACGATTGCACCGGACACTAACGGCTCACGGTCAAACCTATTTATTTTTTATTTTCTCGTCCAAATTCTAACGCTAATGCATACGATACGCGCTTACGGCGGAGACGAAATGTTTCGTTCGAAATTCTCTCACCATTCGTTTTTAAGATAGATCTGGCACCGAGAGGTTGTCAAAGATCAAGTGTCCGCACATCATCAGGTGGCAAACGAAAAATCGCATATGCGTTGCCGATGGACTTCCGAAGACTGACATTTTTATCCAATGGAATGTGCCCAGCGTGCCATTGATCGGTTGGTCCGAGAACGACGAGCATACGCATCGAGGCCCGAGTACCTGTGTGGGAAATAAACGCGTTTTTCGCACAACTAGTACGAGGGGATAGTTCGTTAACCGCGACGACCGGCTATCCGTCGAATCGCGTGATCCGTGCACACCGACTGTCCGATTATGATAATATACGTATACGTGGCCCTCCCGTTTGGACGCGAACGTTTGCGTTTGACGAGTACGCGCGTTTGCGAAACGTCAGTGTTTTCAACGATAAATCAATATAAAATGAATTAATAAATGCGACGACGGCACACGCGAGAAGTATGATTTATCGTACGGTGTGCGACAACCGACACGGGCGGGTCGAATATACGTAATGGCGCAAGTACAATCAACTCGGGTGTTCCGATGTGTAACCTGTACTTTTCATGAGTTTTTCGGATCGATGTACAATATATATATAAATATATATACAATATAATCAATGTATATTGCACATTGATTATATTTAATTGTATGTTAAACCGTTATCGTACTTATGCATGTACTTTTATGTCCATTAACCATTATAATATCTAAATAATCAAATACTTTAAGAACAAGTGAAAAGATAACACAGTTTAAATAGTGCATTACAACTGCGTGTGTGTTAAAATAAAACGTAGATTTTAAAATTTATAATTCTATGATGGCTAAAGTTACCGAAAGTAAACGTGAAAATAAAACACTAGTACTAAACAATATTACATTTTTTATTGGATCAGTTAACAAATATCAACTAATTATATATAGTTACAATTTACATAATTAAGGTATTGGATATCATAATATATTATTTTTTCATCTTTTTATATCTGACCATTTTTTTAAATAAAATTTAACATTTTCCAACCTATATTGTATATATTATATAATGCCTTTACATTTATTGAATTAATAGTAAGTTAAATAAAGTTATTTCTGTGTTATACCTTTTAATTTAAGCGTAGTATACAATTTTTTTGGTAAAAACATGGTCACTGTCTCATTTGGTGGAAAAGGGAATGATACACTTTTGGTGGAAACGAGTATTGGTGAAAAAGGAAAAGGTCTACTTTTGGTGGAAACGGGCATGGCCCCTAACAAAAATATGTGCTTCGCCAAAACTTATGAGTATGTTTTTAAAACGTTATCGATAACATAGTCATAAACCTTTTCGGGCGACAAATGTTCGTTATCGGCAGAGTAGCGGTAACCTTCAAAGGATGTTCGTCGTCGACAACGTATCGACATTTCCAAATCAGCCGTGTCATCATATCAAAATGTTGATGTTTCTTATGAAATTGTATTATTATTCGCTTGGTCGATTACTTTCGACGTGAAATGATGAGAGAGTTTACGTTCAAATCAACCGATCATCTAATCACTTTAAATAATTTAATATACGTGTGTGCTACGCACAAGATATGCCACGGAACTCACTAGAAACAAAGTTTGTCAGTTATTTCATTTACAATTCGAAAGGTCTGAAACCATGTTTTTGTGAAGAATACTATTATATAGTAGTTATGTATATAATTGATAACATATATTATCAATTATATTTTGTACATGCGTTGACGTTATAAGTCCTCGTTGTCGGAGTCACCGGCGTACCGCATGGCAATGCGATGCGAATAAATATTATTATTATTGTGTTCTATCGTGACCAATGAAAAAAGTGGAAAACCACTCACAGCATTCAACAAAGTAGTAATCGAACGTAACAACACTGCGTCATGAAACATGTCAAGATCAAATCTTGTACACATAAGTCCCGCGCCTTGAATTCAAACCACCAGGTTATTGGCAACCAGCGCACACGTGTCACTTGTATTGCCTATCTATCGCCGGCTCGACAACGTGTTGCGGACGCGGGGATGGCGATGTGCCGCCGTTATATTCTTTATACTTCGCCAATGGAAATAAAACGCTTTTCTTTATGTTGGGTTAAACAGGACTTACTATAGGCGAGTAAAAAAAAAAAAATTAAAAAAAAATCGTCGTTTTGCGAATTCTGTTGTAAATCAAACAATATTTGTTTACGGGTGTTTGGAGCAACGTACGAACTTTACTTTGTTCTCCGAGTCGCCCACGTAATATATCTGTAGAAACTTTGATTCTTATGGATCATCGGGTAAAAAAAAAATCCAGGCCGAATGGGATTCTAAACGTTGGACGTCGGCATGAGGTTTCCTCCGTGCTGAATTTCTGTTGCACCAAACGACGTTTTTTGTTCGCAACGGTTAGGTTTGAATCCGAATTACGCTACCGCACCTAGGTTTGGTTAGGTTAACCTAAAAAACGTTTTTTTTTTTTTTATCAAATAAATGTATGCCTAATGATAAGAACGCCACCCCGATCACCGTGCGACTTGTGTCAAGTATCGATATGACGGCGTCAGCCAGCGGACAGTGGAAACGCCTGATCGTGTGGGACAACTTACGTCTGTGTGTTTTTGCAGTGCTGCGCCGTGGGTTAAATTATCATTCAATTTACTTATAGAATTTAAAATAAACTTAAAACCTGTTCCACGATGTACACTTTCATTAGAAAAAAATAATAAAAAAAAAAAAAAACCGAGAGTTAGACGACTAATTTCAGAGAATACGCGTGAAAAAGATTCCATTTTCACATTTGGGCGGATCGATATTCGTTGGCAATCACAACTTCGATGTTATATGAGCTCAGGAAAAATCCCAAAACACCAACATGAGCACCGGTAAAGTGGTTCTCCTTCTCCCTAATCGCGTGACCACAAGATTGACGAGGGTGATCGGGAACTTTGGTCATTTGGACACTTTTTACGTTTTTTTTTTTTTTTTTTGTCCTCCCGCCATCCCGATTGATGGCCTCGTCATTATTGTTTTAGGTACACGAGTTCGACGACCTGAACAAGGACTACAGCAACAAGAAGAACATGGTGAGCTCGTCGACGACGGCGAGCAAACCTCAGCAACAACAGCAGCAGTACAAGCAAAAGATCGCGGTTAGACCGAACAGGGCCAAGCACGCCCGGAAGCTGACCAGTCGGCAGGACCTGAAGAACCTGCTGGTGATGCGACCGCCGCCCGTGGGACAGCCGCAGACGTGGAGGTACGTGTACCAGCCAACGGTGGCCCGGCATCACCAGTTCTATCAGAGGAAGCAGCAGCTGCCGCCGCCGCCGCCGATGATGCCGCTGATCAAGACTAGGACGTTGCCGTTGATCCTGCACATCCGGCAACGGTCGGATGACTGACAGCTTTATTTGACGTCCACCCTCGCGAGACGGCACCGATAAGTCTTTCGCTGCGCGTAGCGTCTCCTCCGAAACGATACGTACCGGAAACGTCCGTTGTACGCCACCATCGCACGGCTTTCCGTCGAATGCGTTTTAGTATCGACCCAATACATTGTCAATTATAAACTATCGTCTATTTTATTTTTATATATATATATATATTTTTTTTTCCTATGTTTTTCTTCATTTGATTTTAACGCGTTTTAATGTTTTCGGTCGAGACTGATCGTCGGTTTTCCGTTAAATCGTCTTGACCCTGTACTGCAGTTTTTGTTAGTTTACGCGCAACTACTGTAATAACAATGTAGTAATATCAATATTATTCTACATTATCATCACTATTTTATTATTGTTATTATTGTAGATTTAATTTTTTTTTCTTTTAATGCACTACATTCGTACCGTTATTCAACGTCAGGCCTTTCAACAGTTTTGTGTTAGTTAATCTGTTTCACATGTGTATTCGGCCATAGAGTTAAAGCTCATCGATTGTAAAAATTGTTAAAACGAATACGCGGACGTACAATACGAATAATATTACACATAGACTTTATCGTCTGTAGACAATAACCTGACGATGGATGATAATAATTTATGGTGTACAAATACTGTCATTACAAACGACCGTCTATATTATATTATATTGTCATTTAATATTTTATAACAAAATGTATAATAGTATAATATTATAACATCGAAATTATCGTTTATCCATTTTTTTTTCACATTAAAGAGGTCTTTAGACATTATTTTATAGTTATAAAAAACAACAATTCAACTAGACAGTGCCGAATAACATACATATATATATATATACGTATTGTTATTGCGATAGGAAAAGGTTTTACTTGAAACAAACAATGTGAAGCGGTGGTTTGTTTTAGAACAAGTTCGCAAAAACAAATGAAAAATAAATGATATGTTGAAATATAAATGTCGTGTACATTTTCATAAATAAAATCATAATTAAATATACAAAGTTTTCATAAACGGGCCGATGGATAATATTTAACAATAAACATATTACACATAATATAATAATGGTATAATATTACAGCTAGAGCATACTATAAAAAGTGTCACGTTTTAAACTAATTTAAATATCACAATCTACACATAAAAAATAATAATAATAAAATAAATAAATAAATAAAAATACAGGTTCAAAACGCTTTAAACAAGTGTAATATATTGTACATTATTCGAGATAATATTTTATGTACACGTTCATTTCGAGTTAAAAATAAAATACAAAAATGCTTGACTAGTTATTATTACTGAAATTATTTTATAATTTTATATATTAATTATATATGTATGTATATTATGTACAATATGCATAGATTCAAGTTTAAAAATAACGTACGTAGCTCTTATTGCAATTATTATGTTCCTGACGACGGTCGTCCTTGCAGAACGCTTCGAGAACGACATCTTCTGTGGCTGGTTGTGGGGGGAAGGGGTGAAAGGGACATATTGACCAATGAGCACTATTACTATGACGATCCACTGAATTCGTATCGTATTTTGCGACGTACAAAGGGATATATTGGCCAACTACATTTTCACGAATATCGTTTCGACACCATTGAAAAGGAAACAAGAGGATATGTTAATTCATACACGTTCAGTATTTTACATAAGTCAACAGTATAAATGTACAACTGACACTAAATATTGTGTCTGAACAGAAAACGGTTTTTACACAATTTCGACGGGTACAGTTCCCATCATGCGCGACAAAAAAAAAAAAATATGTTATTGTATTATTTCACGCGCGCGAAAATACGCGATCAAAGTCTTTACTCTGACGTTGAACACGGAACCCTATTCGTACGGTTAAAGATTGCCTATTTTTCTATCAGTCTATTAAGAGAGCATTTACAATATTATTGTACATTATATACATATATTTATCTATATATATATTATGTATTATATTTACACGTGACAGAAATGAAATCAATATCGTGCGAACTACGTGAGATTATTGAAAGGTTCGGCGGAGTATTTCGTAAATAAGTTCAATAATACGATTCTGCGAAAACTCAGTTAACAGCAAGAGCGAAGGAGACTGATTTCTACGGAGGTGTTGGGCTACATGATTCTACAACGATAACACACGTAGATCGAAAAAATAAAAAAAAAGATTGTCAAAACATTTTATCCATGTATAGGTATGTGTACACACACACACACACACATGCACTATACATATATATGATGTTCTCGCGGTGTTCGCGATCAGACCAACAGTTTCGGGCGACCAGGAGAAAAGGATCGATTGCGCCGGATAGACTCGTATGAGCAGTCGTACATGACCGTAGTTCACATTAGTAAAGTTGAATTATACGCAATTGTTTTGCGATAGAGTCGATCCGGTGAAACCGATTATCGTTTACGCGGCGCAGGCAGTGTGCGTGATTGACGGCGATCAGTTGGACTCCCTCTGAGGTAGATAAGACGCGTTTTCCCGGAGGACGAACGGCCAATCCCGATTGAACTCGGAACGTTTGCCAGCGCTCGACCGTCATGACGCAGCCGGGGCGTAGCCGAGGTTCTTGCGCTGCAGGAACAGATGGATCTCCCGGAACGTGGGCCGGTCCGATTCCTGTCGTTTCCAGCACTCGCGCATCAGATCGTAGATGTCGCGGCTACACGCCGGCCGGAGAAGGTACTCGAACAGACCGTCGTCCACGTGCATGTGCGACAGGTTTTCCACCACTTGGTGGTCCGTGAAGCCCTCGTATGGCCGCGACTTGGCCAAGTGAAGGATTTCCCACAGGGTTACGGCGAACGACCAGACGTCGCTTTTGGTCGAATACTTGTCCTGCAAACGTGGCAAATGAATGTGGTTCGAATCAAACACAACATGATGATAGAGGGGTGGGCGTGTGCGAGTGTGGGCAGTAGGGTAGAAGTGTTCGTTTTGACTGCCGTCTTTTGAACGATTCGTAATTTTAAAACGGCATTCTTTGGGCTTACTATTTTAGTTATTATAATTGCTATTGTTGTATTTTACACGTTTAACCAAGTCTGATAAGTGAATCAATTAAAAAAACGATTGTTATAACAGAATCGATGGTTTCTTACGAAAGCAATAATTTTCCATCAGAAAAATGATTACAATAATAATTATTATCGTAATTGCTTTGCAATTATTGTTCAACATAATATTATGTTGAAAATAACGAATCGATATCCGTACATAATACTCGAGAACATTATTTATAATTATATCGATTAGAATTAAATAACAGTATTCATTATTTAGGTCCCGAATTATCTTCAAATGGTTCTGATACAACTAGTTGCAATAAAATATCAACTATCAATAAATTTGTAATCCTAATAATTTGTTGGTTCGTTGAATATTGTAGAACACAAGTTATTTACTGAGTTACTCGAAAATTACATATTAAAATCATCATAACGCAAATAAATAGATACAAATAATCTGAATATTTGACTTTTTGGTATTCGTATTGGAATTAATCAACATAATTGTTATGCTTTAAACATTTCGGTTTTCGTGTTATTCATTAGTATGTAGTAATAGGTACACAGAGAATGAAGGTCTTAAGGCACGTGTAGTATACTCACTAAGAAAGCTGATTCCCACGCCATCCACCGGATGGGAAGTCCGATCTTCCCGTCAAGTTTGTAATAGTCAGATGAGTAAGATTCGTTATCAGTACCGAAGTCACTAATTTTCACTTTGTACGCTTTACCCACCAAGCAGTTCCTATAAAATTCAATAAACGTCATTAGGTAAATGGCCGAGAGGAATAAAAGTCACTTAAGTTTACCTGGTGGCCAAATCGCGATGAACAAAATTCAACGATTCCAAGTAACGCATTCCGGATGCTATTTGCGTAGCGAGATACAGCAGACATTGAAAACTAAAAAAAAAAGGAAAAAACCCATATAAAAATAATGATATGTACTTATAGATGATTTATAGTCTAAATCATGTATGAGATTCAGTTTTTTCTCAGTTATATACACCTACATCCGAACAATTATTTATGAGGAGAAGACATAATAATAAATTTTGATTTCAAACTTTGAAATCAGAAAGACTATTCGACATCATTGTGCATTCGGGGATTCAAGAATAGAATAGATTTAATATATATAATACCTGAGGGTCTTCACAGAAGGTGGAAGATTTCGAGCAGCTTCGACGGGCACGTGCATTTTGAGGAACTGATTCAGGTCACCGTGCTCACTGTATTCCATTACTACGCACAGCGGTTGTTCAATGGAGCATATACCCAGCACTCTAGCTATATTCTGGTCTTCGAGACCAGCCAAAATTCTTACATCGTTTTGCAATTCGGCTCTGTAACGAGTACGCAATTTAATGAGAATAAGTTTACGCCAAATCAGGTTAAACGATCAGGACGGACATCAAACATACCTTTCTTTTTCCGATAGCGCTGGCGAGAAGAACTTTACCGCCACCAGTCGCTTGCCCAGTGTCATATTCGAGTTGTATTCGTTGATGCTGTCTGCTTCGGCCACGTAAATCTAAATTATTCGTTAGCTTTTAATAATGGATATTATACTTTTGTGCACACATATATACTAAGACTTATACGTGAATTGTATTGTAAAATAAAAATAGCAAAATAAAATCAATCTAATTCATGTATTTTAGAATTTTAAATGAGTCAATCGGTGATTTTAACGTTTTACGTAACAATGTTATTAATTTATGTAAAACATGTATTCATATATGAATTCGAATTGACTGTTGGAGCTTGATGTAGTTTTTCTTTTGATGAACAAATTTCATGTATTGCTTAACTTTGCGAAATATTATTCAGAACATAATTTCTGAATATACTATATTAGGGGTCGAATATCACTGCCACTTGAAGTATTATCTTACGGTGTTTCCAAATGGTGGGTCTATCTGCTTAAAGCAAAAAAGAAACGAAAGGATCAAATATCGAGAAAACAATAATCCTGACATATATTAAAATCGCATTTTATCATAATTATTTTTTTTTTTATTTATTTATTCTAACAGAATAATAATGGATAAATTGTATTATAATGGAATACATTTCTTGAACGCAACTAAATTAATTAGAACTTTAGATTTTCATTTTCAAAATGTTTCTTGGAATTTGTGAAGTAAGGCCTTATTCAGAATAGATATAATATTAAATGAACCATCGATCGGTGAGCCCGTTATTGAAATATCAACCATGCCTTTTCACTAATGTTCTTGTTAAAAAAAAATAATATAAATTGTAAATAATTTATTGTTTTTTAAACTATCTTCAAAGAGTTAAAAAAATCCGACTTTATAAAAGATTTTAATTGGATTTTTACTTGTGTAGCAAATTTCTTATAACTAGAAATTGATTTTTCATTTCAATCATACACTCTCATTCGATAAAAAAAAAAAAAGAAAAATGAACGTGAGGCGTGTCACTTAACTTGTGTTTCTATACCATGAAAAGTCGAAACCTATGTATTTGATCACACCAAGCTATTTATACCATAACATACGACATTATTATAGATTGAACAGCACGTTCTGATATAGCCTCCAGGAAGAAAATCAATAATATTCACATCGTAAACTAGATTTCGAGTAATGACGACTTACCGCTCCGTAATTACCCTCACTGAGTTTGGACAGCATACGCAGACGATGCCGTGGGAATTCGGGTACAGGCGTTTGTTCGAGTCGGCGTTTTAGTGCTGTCTGAGATTCTTGTTTTTGCGAAGACTAAAAAAAAAAAAAAAAAATAAGTACACATATAATAATAAACGTATAGACGTACAGAAAAGCGTTAATGTTAATAGGTCAAATAAATATATACATATACAATAGGCAGAGGAGATGGACGACGGCCGATCAAAATGTCAAACGGTTCCCGCTACATAGTATATACATGTGCATTTACACATAGTGTATCGTGCGAAATTGAGGAATTTTAGAATTTGTTCTCCAATTGACAAATGTTTAATAACCATTCTGTACACGTTTATTTTAACAAAGTATAATTTTACCAATATGGTGTTCCTCGAGATTTAGATAAGCGACTTTACATTTTTAAAACGAATACTACAACATAGTATTATTAGATACACGAGTGTCCGTATTGGAGTAGTGCATAGCGGTCGTTAACAGCGTTTTCACGCATAAAAAAAAAAAAAAAAAACGAATTCTGTATTCTAGTTAACATTTAACAGCAATAGGTATTGTATACAGGTACCGTTTTTATGTTTAGGAAATGTAGGCCCAAAAACGTAAACGAGGTGCGTGAGTGTCGTCATTACTATTGCTATTTGTATCAATCACTTTAGTCTCAAACGGAGGAAGTATATATATATATATATATATATATATATTGTGTACTGTATGACGTACAATACAGGTTAGGTACGACAGCGAAGTCAACACGTACTATTCAAGGAGACATGTGACATGTCGTGTCGAGGCTATTATTCATAATATTTTCTATTGAAACGACAAAACAAGGGGGGACAAAATCAGGGGAAGCGACGGAGAGCGGGTCTTGTCGTGTTCGGCTAGTCCACCGCAGTATTAATCATCTCTCAGCGAAATGAATCCAAAGGCCGAGGATGTGGGGTAAGAACGAAAACGAAATATATACATACAAGATCACGCAAACTCGTACGTGAGCGCACCGAAATGGATTTTAGAAGGGGAGAAAAGAAATATCTCTCATCCTACCTGCTTTTTTTAAAAAAAAAAATCCTTTAAAAATGCCTTACTTTATTTATTACGCTTAAAACGTTACGTCGAGAAATGTTTAATTATTCCTGAGCACACAGAAAATCCATTTGGAGTTCTCACAGTTAATTATTTCCATTTTAGATCAAGAACTTTGGACTGTTCCTTTTGTTACAATTTTTATTATTTGCTATGGCTTTTTATGATGTTTTAAAAATAACCTTTATTTCAGTAAAAAAAATAATGTAGGTTTTCATTTTAATGAGTAGTATAAACGAAATATTATTTTATCTTTGGATATTATTTTGTTACGTTGTGGTTTTATTATGAAATAATTAATAACAAATTAGACAAATTAATTATTTAATTCTCACAATAAACCGAGTTAAAAGAAAATAATTACAGTTTAAAAAAATCATACTCCCAAAAATATTCCTTTCACTTCAATATTATAGATAAAATAACCGAATTTAATAAAACATGATTTATATCTCGAGAAAAAAGGGAACGTTTAAAAAGATAGATGCATAAAAAAATGCTGGTATAACTTTTCATATCATTTTTTTTCATATTATGAACGTTTTCAGTTATAGTTCTATAACGACTATAAAAATATTCTTAGTCTTTCTAAGAATGCATAAGTATGTATTATCACAAAAATGGGAAAATATAATTTATGTGGCACTTGTTCGTCTAACCGACAAATTATGTTATTGAGGTTTATGCAGTTACACATGTTTAGTTGAATTCCAATAATTTAATCAGTTTTATTGCTGCATTGTTTATTTCCAAGTGGACATTAGTGTCGGCACTGTTTTTGAGTTTCTGCCTCAAGTCAAGAACACTTGTGGATTTATGTGCATGGACTTGGCACTCTTACGAAAACACATGTTAAAACTTACTTTTTTACTACTTCTGCTCTCGTCCGTGGGATACATTTTGTTCCTGGCAAACGTGTCGGTCGTGACAGGAGCCACAGGAGGAGCTGACGGGGGCGGCGGAGGCGGTGGTGAAGTCGTGAGTAATGGTATGGTTCCGGTCTCGGGCACAGCATATTCGTACGTAGAATCTGAAAGGTAAACAATACAGTAAGTCATCTTCGATGCAAGTAGAATATCACAAGATCATTAAATCGTTTGATATTTCGATACTTCCGTTGAGTGAAAACGGCTCAGGGGAAAATAAGATTTTAATTATGAAATTATGTTTATAATACGGACATAAGTATATAAAAATAAGTGGATACCATGATATTCACTAGTCAATCGCAAAATTTTAAACACGACGTAACGAGTATATGTTGTAAATGTTTGAATGGTCGTTGTTTCGATATACGCGCGCAGTGACCCGAAGAAAAAGCATTTTTCGAAAAAGACAGAGGAAAACTGTTATCGATGAACAGCAAAGAAAATATGATCGAGATAATTGAATTATTGTTAATTTAATGAAATCCGTGGTTCGACTGGCGTAATGCCCGTATATTAGTATACAGTGAACATTCTCGTAACGGAACTTTCTAAAAAAAATATACTTAAGTGGTTAAAAAAAATGTTGAAGTGGCGTGCAACGAATTCACAAAAATCAAAGTTCACCCCCTCCCCTCCCAATTGAAGTGTGCATGATAATTTCGGTTTACTCACTGCCCGAGTCCATATTGCGCCCGATCACTACCGTGCTATAGCTGTAGAACGGCGTGTGCGCGTGATACGGTTCTTGGTACGGTTCGGTGTCCAGCTGAATCAGTCTGTCCATATCGTGCAGGTGCCCTCCGCCTCCGTTGACGGAACTGGCCGGATGACTGTTGCCGTGATGGCTAACCGAGCTACCCGTGCCAGCGTCCTTGTAACTTCCGCCTGTGCCGCAGCTACTTCCGGACGACATGCCCGGACATCCGGTATTGCCGCCGTTGGACAACGCACTTTTGCCCACTAAAGGGCTGGCGAAACACTTCCTCTGCCTGTGACGAGACACGATCAGGAAAATGGCGACCGCCAGCAATATGATAACGGCCATCAATACACCGATTATGATCGCCATGTACGTCTGGTCCTCGTCTTTGGCCGTAGGCACTGCGGAACAGAACAAACATATCGAGATTAATACATCATATTCATCGTGTATTAATTATACTCATCGTTCTATGTAACCGTACTTGAAAGTTCCGGTCTGAGAGGGTTCTGGTCCTTTGCAGCCGATCCGTCTTTTTGAGTCGGTAAGTCTGGCGGTGAAATGATTTCTTCGGAGAAATTTCCTTGTGCAACGTCTACGAAAAGCAAAAGTTTCAATTATAATATAAAACGCTCATAAATTAATAATAATAATAAATTATGTATGCACTATATTATTTGCTTGGTTTCCTTGTGTTAAATTAATATAGTGAATTAAATTATAACGGAAGTTGAACATAATTATATGAACTTCGATGACTATATAAATAATAAGAAAACACGAATGATTAAAATAAAAGCAATTAACAATTATTATTTTTGTGTACCTAATCCGAACTGATTATAACAATACTTTTTTTATTTTTACTTCGCGATTCGTACAGTATATTTTTAATTATATCTTAAGGTTTTAGATTATTTTCCAGTTTTATATGCGGCGATTCATTTGCATATGGGCAAGGGTAAAACAGAAGAAATGATGTGTTGGCGCCATGACATAACGAATGTCTTTCACAGTTAAAATGCAACGAATTTAAAGCCTGTATACCGAGTTAAAATGAATGGAGATAGTTGAAGGGCCCAAAAGCAATTACGTAGGTCCATTGTTTAAAAACACCTCAAAAACCGCGGCAATTAAGGGTCTCGCAATTTTCGTTGTCATTATTATCCCAGTGGACAGGCAACTTATAAAAAGTTCTTAATTAAAAAATACTCGATTCGATGCTTTAAAAAAAACTTGCTCGGCGTCTTTCACGTTTTTTTTTTATTTTTATGAAGACCAAAATTTATAAAATATAAGAATAAAATGCTAAAACCCTAGAAATTAATAATTACAGTAATATAGTTACGCTGCTTCCAAGTGAATAAGAAATTAGGAACGTGAAAAAAATGTATTTTACTCTTTTATTATATCCTAGAATGCGATAAAAACGGTTTTCTAATTTTTTTTAATTTAAAATACAAAAGTAATAAGAATAGTTATAATGAACAAATAAGTGGCAAATCAAAAATATTAATTTTTTATTGTATATTTCTTTCTGGTATATTAACAAAATAGTTTTATGTGTTCTATAAAAAAAAAATTTTTCTTGCTCTTCTTACATAATTTAACACGTTTGTTTTAAGATTTTAGTTTTAATCATACAACATAAAACATTAAAGTGGATAATGTAAGGCGCACATTGTACAAGCAGATCAAAGTGTTCCAATAGCATACCTAATAACATATTTATGCAAAACTTTTCTCATAAATCTACACCTTGCCATAACCTACTACTACGTAATATTATGAGCATGCGGGGCTAAATTTCCTTAAAATGCCCTTCATTGGATCCTCTGCAGGGGTGAAATAAGGAAAAAGAAAATAAAACTGTTATTAGGGTCGATATTAAAAAGGTTGTTTCAACGAGCCATTTTAACCATTCCCCCACCCATTATACACATCTGTCTCTCTAAGGGTGTCCAAATGAAGACGCCAACAACATTTATGACCTTTGTTTCGGTAATTGAAATAAGTTTAAGTCTACAGTCTTAAATCTCAGACTTTGTGGTATAATACTTAAGCTGTTAAACTAATTCATAAAATTGGCTATAGGAATTGAAATTGAAAGATAATTTCTTTGCTAACACAATAATAACCTTTAAACTTTAGCGGAGTATTATAAGTAAATACTTGTACTTTATGAGATGGAATATAAAACTTTCACAATCAAAGATCACACATACAACATAGAATTCTTTAACTTTAAATAATATAAGTTGAAATTACAGATTTTAAAAGAAAAATATATTACCTAAATATTATTCCATTGTTGAGTGAATACTGAATATTATAGGAAAAATATTAAAATATTATTGAAATTTTATGTATTGTAGAAATAAAAATTAAATTAATTTCTTATTCGTACGTATCATTTACAAAAATTATAAATTAGATAATGATTTGTATTCTTTGTGTTGGTGCACAATTTTGTTTTCTCACTATGTATGTGCGTAATGTAATATGTTCGTGAATAGCGTATGTGTGTATGTGCGTATCTTTGAGGGATTTGTATCCTACAGTGTAACTATATATTTCCGTTACTGAACAGTTTTTCCCATTTGCCGCCGACAGCACCATATATTCTCACAGACATACGGTAGGGCCAGACGATTTTCCCATTACTGCTTTTGCCTACCAAAAACGCTCAGGTAAACTATAAATCTTCTTATACAGTGTAATAAAAAATATATACATATTTTATATATATATATATATATATATATACGGCATAAAAAAAAACAAAAGTAGATGGAAAATGAAAATAAATACGTAACCTCTCGAGATTTATGTTATTTTTTCCATTTTCTCGACTACTTATTGTTCCCTGTGGGATGAAGGGATGTCATATTTCGTAGTTATATAACACCTTTTTTTTAATTTCTTAAAAAATAGTCATATAGGCATCTATTTAAAAAATATATTCTTATACCAATATTTTGTATTCATTTATCATTTAATTTGTAATCAGTCAAACGTATTAGACTTACAGAAATGTTTTGTGATTCGGATAAGTCTTCTAGTGAGTTAATTTAAAATATGATGTTACTTTGTACAACGCAAAGTAGAAGAGAAGTCATATTATGAAAAAAAAAAAAAATGTATTAAATATTAAACGCGTTCGTCAAGATTTCATTTTGATTTTATAATGTTACGTTGCAACGCGTTATGCGTGTTCACGCATGTAGTCATACTTTATTGCCTTTATGTATATTCATCGCTCTTTTAAAAAAATATAAGGGCCGCATGCAAGTCTTTATTTTTTTTGCTAAATAATATTCAGTGCTGTGTTCATACAGAATGCATAGGGGAAGTTATGGGACAAGGGAAAGATGTGTACTCGTGCAGGTATAAATAAGCATGTTTCCAGTCGGATGATTTCGATTAACACACTCGAGTTATTTCTGGTACGTCGACCCGGCATATACACCATTTTATTTACTATTTGATTAAACGCGAAGCAAGGAAAAATCCAGAATCCAAAAATTCCCTAGGATTAAAAAAAAGTCACAGACCGTATCAATCCTGCGTTTTAAATGCGACCACCAAGTAGTAATATATGATGGGCCTGAATTGTCGAGCGTAATAGCTTACTATAATAATAGGTGTTAAAAATACCATGGCTTAAGAAACCATGTATAATGGGTACGTAAATATGAGTGTATATGTGTAATATATATATATTATGTTTATGTATACAAACATGTACAATGTAAGGGATCTATTTTATTTACATAAGAAGGAAAAAAATCAGCGTGATGTAATACTTGTTTCATACAAGAGTTATTAAAAATGTCCTGTAATATGGTTAAAAAAATATACTATTAAATAAACATTATAAGTATTATAAATATAATTGTAAATTACCAGAATCGAATGTTATTTCGCTGATCATGATCCACTTGGCAGCAAAAGACAATCTGAGTTTAACAAATCGACCGACTCTCCTGTGTAATTTGATGCTGACGTTCCTAGATGTTTCGAATATCCTATCTTCCATGTATGTATAAGTCAACGGTTCCGACGAGTATACTTTGCCTCCTACGCTGAATAAAATACTCGCCTCGGAGAACACCTGAAATTCAATGTTTTTTATTAGAACCTCTGTGTACTTTTAACTATAACAGAAAAACGTTTAGTTGTCGGTAACAAGTATTTTTCATCTCAAAATGCTTTATTTTTGTTTTCTACTGATGTTTGTACAACAATATCTCGAGCTTGGTACACTTTTTTTTGTACTTCAGAAGAATGACGCAACGCCGCATATTGTCTAGGGAATAACGATTTTCAATTTATACATTAGACAAGACGATTTTCGATTCACAACTATTATACTTCGCGACCTGTTTCCAACCACCAATCAATAATACCTGTACACATAGAAAAGTGACAACGCGAATGTCTATTACAGAACATTGTCTGTAAAGGAACTTCAAGCGTATACGGTGATTTATCGCGTGTTTTGGCCTCGTACATGCTAATAGTCTATGCAAGTAGGCTTTATTCTTATATCAAAATATCTCGTAGGACGGTTTCGGTTAATGTAACACATGAATCTTCATTACCGGCGGACGTAGTGTCAACACATCATTGAAGATTTAGTAGCATCCACGTGACATTGGTTAAAATAATACGTAAATCATTGTGTATTTGAAATTCTTTTAGTCAGGGAAACTCCTCTGCGGAGTATAAATATTTAATGTTTTGTTTTACTAATATCGTGCCCTCCGCAAAACATATTTATAACACCAGTTTTCCAGTTCTTTATGCATATTATAGTTTATATGAAAACAATTGTTTATTATTAAACTATAAGTTTATACCTGCACGCGTGTTTAAGTGAATTTATTGTGTCGATCAAATTTAATAGTTTATGATTACAAAACAAACACAGGAACGGAACGGCAGGAATAATGGGATTACGAAGTTTTTGGTCCCAGCGGGATTCTATTGTTTAGTAATATCGCAGAATATTATTATTATTATTATTATTATTTCTATTATAACTACTACGCCGCTCCGATTGGGCCCCATCCTGTTAATATCGTGTTGACGGCATCAGTGTTGTTTTATCAGAAATCCCGCGAGCCAACTACACGCATGATAAGGTTTGGTAATGTTTTGTCAAAACTCATTTCGGTACACGTGTAAAATTAAAGAAGTTAGCAAAACTCGCTTCTAATTGAAAATGATGGAAAGATAATACTGCACGAGGTGTTCTTATTTTAAGAAGCACTTTAAGATTACGAACGAGAGTCGCTGTTGATTAAATTATGTACTGCGAAAAAAGCCAATACCCTCAGAAAGTTTTAAGAAATTAGTTTTCAAGAAAAAAATGTCTGATATTAGGACAGTACTACACGGATCTGTAAAGCATGAAGTTTACTTTGGCCAATAGCCCGTAAAAGTTTTCAGATTTGTAACGGGGAATGAATATAACGCAATTAGAGACACAAAAAACTTTTGCGACTTGTTTAAGTCGTTTTTAAGCGCAGAAGGGGAAATGTTAAGACTAGTTTATGCGAAATGTATATATAACTCTCAGCATTTGGCAATAGCTCTCTGTAAAATATAGGTATTAATATTAAACGAAAGCACGACAATTAATACGGTCCTACGATTGGATTTAATTAATAATTTAATCGATTCGTCATATTTGTACACGCATCCGTACAGGATTTGTCTTCGGTAGTTGTTTTCATACATTACCGATGATACAGTGTCGTATAGACAATATTATAATTGCGTAACCCCAACAGTAATTAGAAACTTAGTTTTTCACTTATAAAGGCATAAACAGTTTGTAATGCGGTCAGAAGAATTTCCTTATATATTTTTTTATAATACACGCCACTAGATGTAATGTTATACATATTGTACTCGTAAATGTGTGTCCAAATGGACAAAGCGATTAACCGTAAATCGATTGCACTCGAATTTGTAATTAAGACATGAACAGTGGAAATTATAGAAATTATACGTAAGGCGTAATGAGTTAAAAACAAAAAAAAAAAAAAAAAAATGCATTTTAAAAAGGTGAATGTGCTATTGGTCACGTGCGTTCAACATTTCCACGGCAAAACAATGGTCACGACGTAACACGTGCAGGACGTGCGGGTGCAAGAACAGATTTTTATCTGTTAATTATCGTAATATCCCCTAGTGAAACAACTCAATGCAATAACGTCCTCCGCGAACCGGCCCATCCACCATATTATATAACGCGCGATACACATACGGCCATCGCGCGCGTTTCAACGTGTATACAGTAACACACACACACGAAATCCTCTTTTTTCTCTCCGCATACGCACTGCAGCATAAGGTACATTCTCCTATTGTGTTTGACGATCCTCTGATGTTTATAGTGCACGTAACGGCCATGTAGACCATCAGCAGCTTAACGAATGCAAAAACTTTTCACAATATTAATCTGTTCAGTCGTGCGCACGTCGAATTGTTATTAGACATAGCGAAAGAGGAGACCCACTCGCAGCCGTCCCCAAAAGCCCGCTACCGGTTTACCATCAAATATAATTTCGTCATGTTATTATTATCATTATTAATAATTTCGAGACGCAATTTGCATTCGTTTGCAGATTTAACCCTCCCCCTCCCATATCCCACTCTAACTATCTCTCTACCGTCCTCTTCGTCTGTTATTGTCTCCGGGGAGATTCGGTTTATAATCAGGTTTTTGAATTCATTTCCACTTTGGGGTTAGACAACGATGAATAATTGCGTTACCGTTGTGTCGTATAGCATGCTTAAAGGGTGCTTTTTAATGGGTTCAGGATACGCGACATTATTGAAAAAGTACAGATAATTGTTTAAGCACATACTTTTAAAATACTAAAATTAGAAAATACATTTTAGGTTACTATATAACTGTAGACGAGTTTACCTGTACATCCTTTTGAAACTGGTTGTTACAATAAATATGAACTCCAATGAATTCTCGGATTTTGTCGAATTCAAATTTAATCTCGATTGCCTGACCACCTCTTGTATCATTTCTCCAACCGACCCAACCTTGATCTAAAATAATAACATATATTTCATATAAAAAATAATAAATATCCTTGATTATACGATTTGATTGAAAGGTGTAAACATATTAATTATTTATTAAATAAAAAAACAATATTTTAGTATTTACAACTATTTAAAATAAATATATGATAATAAGATTGTTTTACTCTGAAGTATTAAATATTATAGAGCAAGACATGACATTTAATACAAATTAAATGAAAAACGTAAGCTATTTATCATATTCATATGCGTATTTTTGAATAAATCATAAAAGCTAAATCGTATTGAAAATAATAAGAAAGATTATAAGGTTGTAAAAGGGTAGTATGGACATAATATTTTTGTGATTAGCTAGAATAAATAACTTAGTATATGATTCGGAAAAATCAACTTTTACCCTCTCACATAATTTGAAAATAAAGCGATCGTTTACCGTGGTCCATTAGCTATGGTGGACATAGATAATGTGTTACATATATATATATAAAAAAAAAAAGAAAAATTATTTCAACCACTGCAGTAAGTGGTCGATTCCTTTTCCGACAAAGAAGCTTTTATTGAATTATTCATGAAAACTAGAAATACGCAGCAAACATAACGATTGTGGTTTATGGAATGTTTACACCGACTTCGAAAACTTGTCCCATGAATATATTTTGGGTTTAAAAATTCGGTATTATACGAATGAAATAGTTTATTCAGCATTATTTTTAACTACGACGTAATGCTGAACGTTATAACTTTAACAATAAATTACAAACCAATGTTTTATTTTTTATAAATACACATCACATATCTATTTTACGTTATTGAAATTAGAAATACAGAGTCCTGAAATTTTCACATTAACAAAAAATGTTTACTTATACTGTACAAACATTAAGAATTTATAAAAGCGATAACATGTTTTTTTCTTTTTCTTTTCAACGACAGTATAGAAATACGGTAAATCAATTTATTCACATTATTGTAATTGCTATTGTTGGGTATTGACTTAACGTAGTTGTTTATTTAAGTCTAATACTAATATTATTTCATTTTTTACCCAATTTAATATATTTACATAGAATATACTAACTAGAGTTACCACAATCACTGTATCAATCAATAGAAATATTAATTTCTATTTGATATAATATCGTTACAGTAATAATAAATGTAATGTATACTTTATCAAATTAAGAATAATGCTATATCAATGACAATAATTGTGTAAAGAAAATATACTTTTTTCGGTATCGTAGTATGCCGGTCTGAAATGATCTGGTCCGACTTTGCCGTCGGTGAGTTGACCGAGGCCTCTTTGCAGTTCATCGTCCCAATATCCGTCGTACGTGGAGTCGTAGAACTCCCATTCTGTACTGCGTTTATCACCTTGCGGCATCGAGTAACTAAGAATTCCGTCTAAGCGCATACGTAAAATAAAATTATATCATACAAGTTATCGATTTGAACAATAATAATGCGATGAAATTAAAAATGTCCATCAAATGAACAATTTATTCGAGAACCGCAGCATTACGATTTAATACTAACCTGTCCATGGACATCCGTAGAGTTCGACTCGCATGCACACCTGTCGGGTGTGGTAACTGTGCGGCAAGAATCTAATTTTCGACGCCCAAATTGGAGGATTCAGGTCTTGTTTGTGTTCCAAGTACGTGTTGATGTTACCGGTCAGTATCTACAAATGAAAAAAAAATTACGTCAAATCCCCATCGTTTATAATGACTTCCGCGAACAGTGGGCGTACATTTAAATTGAGTAATCGAGTATTTAGTTTTAACTCGTAAATTACCCTTTTTTTTTTTGCAATACACTGACGTAACATCAGATCGAGTTAACTAAACGTTATGTTATTCATCAATATATAAAACATGGTTTTTCGATTAAAAGCTAGTAGGGATATTGTATGGGACAAAATTTACATTTAATGAGATAATAATCGTTCGTTATAATAATATCATTGTTCGACCCGGTAAAGATTTTGATTCGAAATAATGCACTTCAATTATATTTTAGACGTCTCGGGGGGAGGGAGGAAATCCCATATATACGTCTTAGAATGAACGTTTCTTGTATCATGACGTTTTACAATGTAAGTCTCGGGGAGCACTGTTAGTACATATTGTAATATTATTACATTGGGTATATATCCTCATTCGGGTAGTGGTATTGTTAACAAAGATATCATTATAGGTATCTTTTATTTTAGATTTAAAAATACATAATCTGTACAAGTAGCACAATAAAAATATATATTTATTGACATCTTATTTTTGATCGAGAAGCCATCCATACAAGTGATATTTGATTGAGAATTTAATAATGTTATCTATAATACTACCTTTTTTTCTCTCTTTTTATTTATTTATTTATGTTATTATTAGTTTTGTAGCAGGTCACGATACCAGGTCATTTTTAGGCACTCTTAGGGTTGTAGCCAGGTATCACATAGGTGTGGAGGTTCTGTATAAGTGGGTTGGAGTGAATTTGAGGATGATTATGAAGTTTGTAGAAATTATCAGCTTCTTCGGTTATAGTTTTCATTAGAAAGAAACTGAGATATGAATCATACAGGTAAAACTTCGAGATATATGTGTGTAGATAAAGACCGCACGGGAAATTATCACGGATCATAAGTAATTATATTATCTTGTAGATCTATTCACGTGTTTGTTATCGTATGTAATTTGTTCTCCGTTAGATCAACGTGTTAAACGAAAACCTGCGTTTTGGTCTCCATCAATAAGCCGGGTTCCTACTACTGGCGTACTTGCCAAATTATTTGTGAGTTTTCCGAACATTGTCTAAACTTTGTTACAATACCGGTAATTGTCAAAGGAACAGCAAGCATACTTGTAATAATGATCCCACGACTCATTCACTTTGGTCAAGAAAAACGGTAGCTTACGAACGAAAATGATTAAATACATACTGTTTAATATCAATTTATTTTATTATATTTATATTAATATCTGTACAATCGCATTCATATAATGTAAATAATTTAATATTTTTCAATTTATTTTACATTTCAAATATTTGTTTATATGATCATATAAACATCATATATTTTACCCAAAAGGAATTGGTTGATTTGGGAGAAGGACCGAGTATCCCATCTTATTATTAGATATTTTAGCATACTCCTACTTTTCATAAATGAAATTATTTGTACAAGTATAAAAGTATTGGCGTAATTGTCAAGTATACGATTATTGGCGTACTTGTCAAGTACGCCAATCGTGGGACCCGGCTATATACGAATAAAATACACGTAGATTAATTTTCGTAAATAAAAATAACGTGAACCGTTTACACATGAAAATTGTAAACTGGACTCAGTACAACGGTGATGATACATGTCTGAATGTATTTAATAAACGGTCCTATTCGAACGAGGTATGAAAACGCATACAAAATATCACACAGCTATATTCCGTATCGTATAATAAGACAACAATTTGGACGGTAATAATTGGCTTTCACCGGCGAAATAATAGCCCTATAAACAACAGATCAAATATAACACATATAGATAACGAAACGAGTGTCTGAAACGTAAGCTAAATAATATTGTAATTTACTATTATTTTATAATATATTATAATCATGGATGTTATTAATCTTTTTCTGTCGTAGAACTTTCGACATTCCGTTACAACGTTATACAAACTATTTTACTATCGTGAATATTTATCTTGCAAACGAGTGTATTAGTTGCAAAGAACAAGCGTATTATTTTTAAATCAAAAAAAACAATATTCAATCTAAAATTGTGTAAAATAATACGCATTTTTAGTGCAGCATCTCACACTTTCGAGGTTGTTATTGTCATTCTGCCCGTGATGTGCAGAAGCCATCCTCGACTTGAGAAGCATACAAAAAAAAAAAAAAGAAAAAGAAGAAAACAAGTTTTTCTCTCGTTCAATCTACAGTATATGTACACAGACTCTTAGTGATGAGACAATACTCTGTATACGTACTCACAATAGACAAATATTTTACTCGAGTGCGGTTCACGTGCAATAGCAGTGGACGCCATTGCACGAGGTAGCGACTCACGATCGCGTTTCGACCTATTTATATATTATATATAATAGTTACAATGAACTGTGAATATAAAACTATATAATATTTTAAACAGTTGACTTGATATCATATACTGTACAACCCCTAAGGAATTCCGAATTTGATACGTGAATAACATAGGGTCTTCAAGAGTAAAGGGGAAATTTGAAATCACTGCCTCAGAATCGTAAAAATGTAAGATAATATTTATTTTTTCATTGACAACAACGGAATCTAAATGATTTGCCATTAAGGTACAAAGGTAAAAATGTCATATCTTAAATTGATGTTCGTAAGATAGTATCAATTTGTACGTAAAAATTCTTATGATGAAAATGTGTCTCGACCGACGGTAACTAGTTTCAACAAAACTAGGAATGTCAGTTATCTCTCATCATTTTTCCACTCTCGATATTATAAAGTGAATAGATTTTGTATTTTCAATAACAAAAATGATTCAACTACGTTTTTATTACTAATGTGTGAAAGTTGTTTCAAATTTTTCCGGAAGATCCTGTATAAGGGCAATGACCGTTTTGTTTCGTTTGAAATTTATAATAACTTCAATATTTGCATTGAACTATGGGTAAAATTATATTATCTCAGGAGGAGGAGGTGGGCGACATTCCGAACAAATTAATAATTATTTTTATCAACACGGTCCCTATGTTCTGCCACCGAGGAAATTCAAATATACATAGTACATACTACTACTTTTGCCGTTGTTTCGCGTGTACACTTCTGCACGATGACGACGACGGATTGTTTATTAAACGAGAGTACATCTGTTACAGTTTTGTACTTCGCTACAGTGATTTATTATAAATACACAACAACCGTTCGCGCAAAAGCTCGACACCGCAGCTATACATTCCCCCTTCCATTGTGTTACTCCACATTCTCCTCCCACACTATGGTTTTAATAATAATAATAATAATAATAATTACACCGGGCTTTATGAATCATTCTCGAGGAGCAAAATCCGGGCTCAATCTCTTCGACGCGCGCGCGCGTAGTATGCCGAGCGCGGGAAATACGGCGTACGGCGGCAATAAAACACGATAAAATTAGCCCGGAGAGTTTCCTCGTCACCAGATGTTGCTCGCATGATTTAGAAGCTCGAGGGCCGTTTAATATAACCCCGTAGTTTATATGTATATGTATAACCGACGACATTCATCTACGCGTCTTCTCACTACGGGGTGTTCGCGGGTCAAAAGCCATTTAAGCCCTCGGTCGAAAGACGCTGGTTTTTTTACTACTTTAATATTTTTTATGCTCTTCCAGAAATCAACCTAGATTGGTCAATTTTCTAACTTTAAAAAAAAAAAATCTCACACGTATACCTCATCGAAAAACTGCGACGGACTTTGCAGTACAAATTACATTTAAATTATTATTATATATATATTTATAAAAAAAAGAGAGATGTACGTATACGGAGCGCGTATTTGTGGAAGAGATATCGGAGAACGACTGGGTCGTGACGTTCTCACGGTGTTCATGTCTCTCTCTCTCTCTCTCTCAATCTCTTTCCCCAGATCTACAATTGTTATTTTTTAATTGGGATGAAAAGTCGAAAACAAATAAAGAATATTTTCTTGTTTAAGTGTCTTCACCACAGGTCAAGTAATTTAATAAAGCATATCATATATACTTAGAGAAATGGTGACTGGTACAGGAATAAAAACTTTTAACGGGATAATATATGCCGACGTCAGCTAATTCAAAGAAACAATAAAGTTCTATACGTACATGATGAATAAAAACGACAGGGCTTTGGTGTTTTTTTTTTTTTTTTTTTTTTTTAACGAAATTCTTTATATGAAAGAGAAAGAGAAAGTGTATTAGGTACATAAAACGTTAAAGTATATTTATTGTATAAATTGTAATTAAGTTATCTAAATGTATAGTCATTTTATTTATTTATTTTATATTTCTACATTCATGGTAATAATTATTAAATTCATAAAAATCGTAAATCAACATAAGATTTAAATATTTAAAAAAGTCATAATTTTTTAGAAAAATAATTTATTTCACAAAATACTAATAATTTATACATATATATAAATATTTTTTTTTGCGTAACAACACTGTGCTATCAAATGATTAAATATAGAAATATATTAAACTAATTTGGTAAAGGTAGAAATTTAATTATAAGATGAACATCAGATTTTAAACTTTTTTTTTTATACAATTTAATGTATTTTGGACGATATATCAATTCACGTGATTTCATAAATAATTTTTTATTACAGCATCTTACACATCGATATAATATTGTTGTATAATAAATAACAGCCTGGAACTCATGAAATGTAATAAATCGTTTTGTTTGCATAACAAACCGAAGGAAAAAACAAACAAAATACAACAACATAGAAATCTTACACTTCATAAATATGAGTTTTCGATAGCTCCCGAGGCTTAGATTTAACAAGAGAAGATGGTGAGTCGATGTTTATTCTAGATTTAAGTATATATCCAGCCTGCGCGTGAAAATAATGATGTTACAACTATATTTGTATTTAACTGCAGTGTGTAGTCGTATTAAATACGCGATTTGTTTTATGAGTATGGCTGAGAGGTAAAATCATGAAGGA